TGCTCATTCTTCAGTCTGGAGCAAGCTTTCTAGCATGCCGCTCTACCTTTCCAGGATACATGTTAAAAAAAAAAAATAAAAATCTTAAGAAGCCACATTTAGCCTCACTCAGATCAGTGCCTGTGTAATTTACAGAGTAACAGGTTAGATTGACCTAGCTACAAATAAGAAAGATACATCACAGCTGGACATCTTAACCAGTCTGGAAGCCTTTGCCAAGCTTCTTGAGGCTTTTGAAACACAACCTATGATTTTCAACAGCATTTCTACCTTTTTTTCCTCCTAACAATGAAAGAGAAACAACGTGCCTACTCATTCTGCTACTATGCATTGGAGGGACACCCCTGCTTCCTCGCTCCAACCTGAGAAGATGTTGTCTCCCTTTCAGCAAAGCTATTTCCAGAGCCTATTTACTGGTTCATTCAAGCCTCGACTTTCTAATTTTGCAGCGTAATCCGTAGTTCAGTCACCCATGAAACTGCTGAACAGCCTGCAATTGTGTGCAAATTCGCACCACGGCTTGTGCTGTCTGAGCTCAGGTACAGTCACTAGCAATGGCACTCAGCACTTCAACGGGAGGCTCATTAAACCTGCCAGGAACATTTGCCAGAGAAATACAACTCTTCCCCTCTTCTTCTCCCCCTTAAATAGTTTAATTAATACCATCGTCCTAGCTTCAACTCCAGAAATTGACAAAAGTAGGGACATCGGGGAGGAGACAGATACAGCATAAGAGATGATCAGCTGGAAGGGAACCCTTGCTTCCCTTGGTTCATTTAACTGGCCCTGTGCAGTGTGGGGCCATGCTCCTGCTCTGTCCCCCAGGCTCAGGCAGCACAAGGGATGTGATGCCCAGCAGAAGACCTCCCAAAGGAAGAGAAGACAAGAACAGAGGGCACATCCCACTGACAATAGCACACTTGGTTTTCTTCAGAGAGAAGGTGGATGGCTTCCCTTGCAGAAGGCTCAGGGAGACACTGGCACCAGCGTGGCTTGGGCAGCAGTGAGAGGAGAGGGGGAGAAGAGGGAGGGGAACTCCTGCCCTCAGCCATGAGAGCTCTTGCGTCAGTTCATGCCAGCTCATGAAAGTGAGTCCTAAGGAAGGGACTCGTGCTGAGTCAGCTGCAGCATCTGGCCTTCTGCACAAGCACACAGGAAAAGGCTGCCCCGTGGTCACGGCCACGGCGATGCCCCAGTGAGACTAAAGTGACCCAGAAGCAACATCCTCCCCACCCCTGAGATAATCAGATTTGCTTTCTCCCGTGACTTCCGCATCTGCCAAGTGTACTTTGTCCCATGTGAGTTGCAATCAGCAAGCAGAGCTATTTACAGTAAGAGTGGCACACCTCGCCTGCTGTACAAGTCCACAGACACCAGCTGAGCCATTATTCAGGCACACGTCTCCCTGCTCAGGGTTCCCACACTTCTTCCCTTCCCTCTTGGCCTGTCCAAACAAAACTGCTCACAGGACTGGCTTAGGGCTTTTCACCCCAATGGGTAAACTAAAATCTCCTCTTCATTAGCTGGGCAGCAGGCTACGGTGCTGTGCATCCAACTGTGCTGAGCCAGCAGGTGCAGGGTGCCTGTCCTTCCTCTTTGGATGTCCACGCAGCAACAAATACTGGAACAAAAGGCACCCTCAGAAAAAAAAAAAACAACCTGCTTTTCCCCTGCTTTCTTTTAAACAACCCGTCCTCCTTCAGACCCCCAATCTACACTCCTTCCTACATTTAACTGCTGAGCAGGCCATGCATCCGCTTCCGCCCACTGCAGCCAGAGTGCTCCTTAGCACCCCTCCACCATTTCTCTCTCCAGATTTTGCCTCCAGTCCCAGCACCCTCCTCCAACAAGGGGCAGCCCATTTCCACAGAAATCTGCTCAGCAAACATAGCAGGGGACCTAACCAGCACATCACAGAAGGCAGCTCCAGCTCTGTGCATCAGATGACTGCCGAGCGTGGCATATTGGAAGACACTTTGCCCTCCTGGGGAGAGCTTCCCGAGGACCTTGCTGGTGCCTCACCACACAAGAGGTGTGCCAGCTGCTCAGGAGCACAGGAACCCACTGAAGGTTGGTACTAGGCAGGAAACTGCTTCTGGAAGATGGTAGATGCTCCCCGCCTCCACAGCAGCGTGAAACAAAAGCCTTTCAAAGCTGTGTGTGTTTGTTCAGCGGAAAAGGATTAACTGCCTTTCATTCTCCTAGATGATGCAATGACCCGCAGCACCCAAGACAAGAAAGGCCCAGGTTTGTTTCTCCTTTGCTTCCCTCCTTCGCAGCAAGCACCATCACCTGTGCAAAGCCTGTCTCTTCCTGCAGGTTCACTGGAAATCTCACCTGAAATACCTTTTCCAACAGAAGTACAGCAGCTACAGAAAAACCTTTCAGTTTAACAAATCAACAAACCAAAGTGGTTTCTTTAGACAAGTCCCGAGCAGCTCTAGGCAGGGGGCTGTACTTGGAGAGCACAAGAAGCTAGCTCACTACAATGCTGAGGAAAGCCTGCAGAGGAGCCCAGGCAGCTCGGGCTCAGTGCTGTCCCTCCACAGAAGGCAAGGCTCATCCCCAGGCTCACTCTGCACCTTAGGGCAGACAGGTAGGAAAACAGCATTAGGCTATTAAGAAGAGCACAGTTTGAATGGTGAGGGTAACTCAACCTTAGCAGCTCTGTGTTTTAAAGACAGCATTTTGGTGCTCTTCCCACTCCCAGAGCATCCAGGACTGTTATTTACAGTTTCCCTTAGGCAGGCCATAAATCCAAGCACAACTAGCAAGCTCAACACAGTGTAAAAGGGTCCCTGTGGCAGGCTAATTACCTTTGCAGGCTATGCAAGGTTCTACAGTTTGCTTCTGCACAGTAGCTTTGAAAACTTTGGCTAATGACTCTGTCTAGCAGATCAAACTTTCCACTTTCTATTGTTCTGCTCAGGGCAGCCAGCCGGAAATTCAGGGGCAACAAACCTCCAGGGGAAGAAATCAAGGCCATTAAGGAAAGGAAAGAGGGGCTATGAAACAGAAGATGACTCCACAAAGGAGTGCAACGGCTACGGACTCCAGTAGAAGGGAAAGACAGTAAATCTAAATTGAGAGGAAGCCTAAAAGATTATGAGTACTAAAATCAAAACCAACAACAAAACAAACAAAAACCCTGTTACTCCCATTCTCTTAAGACTTTAGGGATTAATTCTTTCCCACTGCTCTACACCAGGATGACAACTTTTTTTTTTTTTTGTTTAAATGAAAATATTTAATACAGAAAAACCCACTCCCCTCACCTCCCCAGCAAGAAGGTCAGAAGATTGACCAGAGGTGCAGGTGCTGCATCTTTCACATTTTCTCACTTCCACAGAACTACACTGATGTTCAGGCTGCAGCTAATTTCACACAGATCTCTCCTAACACCTACTAGCTTTATTCATGCATTGTCTATCCAGACAGCAGTGGTTATAGCAAACGCTTGAGTTATAGGAGGGGGGTGGGACAGGAAAATCAGACTTAAATCCTTGCTCTGGATCAAGCAGAGCATGAACTAACCAGGCTCTCCCATTTGCTGAATGAAAGCCTTGGCTGGCAAGCTACTGTCTGATCTAAGGTGGCACATGCACTCTCTCGCTCTGATCTCAAAAGGTCCATAATAACACTTTTACTTAGATGGTATTTCCCCATGAAAATTTTCAGTTGCAATGACTCTCTCAAAAGTTAAAAAAAAAAAAAAAAAAGGCACCAACCAAGAAAAACTAACATGCTGCATTGGGCTGTCAAAAACCCCAACAAGCCTAATTTGCAGCTGAATGTCATACTGGTAATGGCTGAAGTCCACTCCTATGGGAACCACACAGGTTAAAACACTTCCCAATAAAAGTGTAATGTCTTCAGTGGTAGTTTTGGTTTTTGGTGAAATATTGTCACTAGAGATTACAGGACCAAAGGCAAGAGAAGAAAAAAAAATACTATGTTGGGTACCATAACCAGCTATAACAAAGAAGTGCAACACAGAACAAACTCTTGTATACTCTAGTTGGGCTGCTTTCCCCTTGGCACAGACCAAAAGCAAAACAAAAACTGTGGAACTTAATACCACAAAACACTCCATGCAGAGTAAGGATAAAATCTTGATGGGTTAGATCTATGATAGGAAGTAAATAAAAATTTATGAAGATCTGTACAGCAGCTTCCAGGATACAGTTAGATAATACTCTTCGTGGGCCATAATAAAGATGGGGAAATTTTGTGTTTTCCTCAGTTGGTGCGGTACCACTTTTTAATTACAAACTGCCAAGGAAGCAGAAGCAGACACAGCTCTCTGGGGCATATTCAAGGGAAACAGATTAGGCTGGTGGCATTACGCACGTACTCTCCAAAGGCGAGGCCTCCAAAAGGGGTTTTCAAATGTTTTGGCTACAAGTTTACCAGTCGCCCCAGATATAAGCATGTAGACATTTCTTACAAGCTTTCCCTCAAGTTATTTTTTTCCCCTGTGAAACAGACAAAGACAACAACAAAACAAAAAAATCTTGATAAGAGGACTTCAGGCTCTTTTTCTCACATATTTTTGCTGTACTTTACAATCCTGAGGCAGGGACACAGGATCTCTTGCTGCAAGTAACAGAGGAATTTCTGAAGAAGTGCCAGAATACATACTGCTGGAGACAGCCAAAGTGGGGAGTCTCCTCCTGAGCTCAATACCACAAGGTGAAATCCACTCCCATTGCACATTATGGCTACGACACTGATGAATTCAAGGTTTAAATAAGAACAAGCAAACCCCAAACACCTTATAACTCTTGTAAAATGAGCTCTCAAACAGCTTCACAGATTGCTCTGTAGCAACCTAAAGAGACAGCTGCAAGATCCCTACCTCCTTACCAAAACTCAGGCTAAAGCTTTTTCAGTCCATATGATTCTGGTTTGATCTGTTTGGACAAAAGCGGGAAGCCAGAGAACAGCAAACCACGTACTCGATAAAGACACATTTGGATGGGTGATGAAGGCATACTCACGCAGTGCGTACAGGGAGAGGACTATTCCAGCCAGGCAAAACCCCTCAAAAAACCTGAGTGTGCTGAACATGGTCACGTTCACTGAGAGTGCCACAGTCAGTCCAAATATCAAAATGAATATGACAGAGAAGAGCAGTACAGGCCGTCGACCAACCCTAAAAATAAGGAAGTATGGAGAAACAGTGTTAAAAGCCAGGATGGACATAACGCTAGATCATTACAACCGGCAAAGAGGAGAACAAGTCATGCAATCCCTTCCAAATATTGCCATTCATTTTTAATGGTTGTTCCATTCTTCTCTTTTTTTTTTTCTGCTTACTAAAACCCAGATTCCTCAGCCACCTTTGCACTGACAAGTTCATTTCAGATGGGATTAAGCAGAGACAGCACGTTGTATTACTGCTTGATTTGACCATCATTTTCAAAACACCAAAGATGAACAAGGAAACATCTAGGAACTACTGTAAGGCCATAAGCAAGTCCCTTCGAGGTTAAAAGCAACTTCTCGGAGCTTTCTGTAGTCGTACAGGAGAGTATGTGGTATTGTATGTTATATGGCACAGCATATTATTATTTCTCTATAGTCTATAGCCACAGAGCTTACGGCAGAGGTCTCCTCTTCCCAACAGACATGTGCTTTTCAGCCTCATCTGCAAGAGGTGCTGGCTCAAAACAACTACTTTTTTTGGCCTCGCTGTTGAGGGCAAGCCTAATAAACACAGACTGAGCACAAAACAGGGCTCATGTCGCTTCACCGAGCCTTAGAGAGCTGGTAGTAATGCTCACAGGAAAACTGAAAGCTCCAAGTCCCTCCACCTTGTATGCCCACAGTGGCTGCAGAGACCCGCAAAATCAGCCTGACTGGAGGGCAAGGAAAAAACAGCTCCAAAAATGATTACTGGCAACAGGGGTGTGAGGATTTGCAGCCTTCCTCTGCAGGCAGGCTTTGCAGCTGCAACCTGTAGTTGCACATGTTGGTGCAGCGCGGACGAGGAGGAAGAGCTATGCTGCCACTGAATGTGGCGGCACTTGCTGCAGAGTTTGGCTCTTTTATGTCAAAGGAATATGAGATTTTTACATCTCTTACTCATATGCTTAGTGTTTATAATTCCCCGTTCCCCTCCTCTTCCTGTGCAAGAACGATACGAAGCACCAGAGCACGTGGTTATTTTTAAGCAAGAATAGGATCTTTATGTGGAGATTTCCAGAATTTTTCAACTTGTCAACTCCCACAAGTTTTCCAGTGGAACTGAGGATCCCTTTTAGTCAGCTCCATATGCCATTTCCACAAAGAATATACGAACTTGCTTTTCGTAGGCAGCTTTCACAGACCCATTCAAAGTAGTCTGTCAGCTGCAAGCCAGGCATCGGGTTGAATGTCAGCACAATAAAGAGCATTTAAATCTCACAAATTAGTCCAGTTCCACGTATTGAAGCATTTCTATTCAATTATTTCAGGAGATTTTTACCAGCAGCTATAAAGTATATTGTATATATGCATTCACAATTAAAACTTTGGATTTTGCTTTACTTAAAATGGAACAAGATCAACAAAATACAGAGTGAAGGGCTGAAAAGGAGACAAGGTTATAATTTTTCACATTTTTGGGAACTAGAAGAGTGCACCAGTATGTGTGCCACCATTGACACTTTTTCAAAGTCACACCTAAGAAGGCGATGTCATGGCTCCTTGCATGAGGACAGGTTTACTATTTTTTTCAGCTGTAGCATCACCCTTGGGACACCTCAAAGATTTAATTTGTTGGCATTAACTATCCAATGCTTTTAAAACAGGAAGTACCAACGTGCAAACTGAAGACAGCAAGGTCAAAGCAGACTGCTCTTAGTCAACATACAAAGCCAGCCCACCAGAAGATGAGCTGCTGTTGAGCTGAGGGTGGGAACACAACGTCTCTGCCTCGGTGATAGGCAATGCACTGGGAACGTGCTGGACACTTGGGCAGTTACTGCTGTGTTTGCTTCAGATTTTATATTTGTGGAACACAAAGCACTTGGGCATGGAGGGGAAGTACCTCATACGAAACCTCGAATACAGAAAAAAAAAAACCAACCTAACTTTGTGTTATCAGTGATCTGCGCAGACTTTCACAGCCCTATTTTTGTAATCGCCAAGCTGTAATTCATACTAATTAGTATTTGTGGAAGTGTTTTGTAGAGAAGGGCATTATGCAAACACTCAGAATTAGGAACTTAATTCTCATCACAAGCCTGACCTGCCATTCCCTGATGTTGATTAAAAAAGACCTCATGCTTAGTATACATCAGTTCCCTTCTTCCCCTCCTCCCACTTTCTTTACTTGAGGTTATCCATCATTAGGACATAGCATTTCTTCTAACATTATAGAAGTTATGCAAATAAAACGTTGCTGCTAATGAAGAATCAGGAAATCCAAGACCCTCCTGGGCCTGTGAAAGCCAGCTGAGGGCAGATAAGCCCTCTGGTAAGAGGCATCATCAGCACCTCCTCCCAGACACAAAACTAGTCTCCTTCCTCACCGAGACATGCAGCATACTCCTCAAAAATCAAAACTCCAGGGCAGCTGTCAGCTGTATATTTGGTGATCCAGCAAGTGTTTTGACAGAATGGTGTCTTTTAGATGTAGACAGAGTTACCCGACTAACAGTACACGGAAATGCTTGCAAGAAATTAAACCATACACAACCTCCCTGGTAAAACAGCCCCAGGACGCTATCTGCTGCCATCCAAACTATTCCAGAGAGAGATTTCTGTGCCACAAAAGTCTCAGCCTACACTGCATACTATTATCTAGATCAAATGCTAAATACTGCCTGCACAGGTAAATAACTAGGGATACAAGCAACCCTAGGCTTTTGAAGAATCTGCAATCCACACAGTGTGATACGCAGATACATCAAAAAGATACTCCTAATGTAGTCAAGAGTCACACCACAGCGGGAAAGTGAATAGGCCTGAGGACAAGACCTGCTCTTCCCATACTCTTACACGTGTACCTTGCCATCCTGAAAAGACTAAGGTTTGCTCTTGCAGACGGTCAAATTGCTCCTCCCATGCTGTTCTTTGCAGGTTTTGGGACTTGAACTGGCACAAAAGCTCCAAAACCACCAGAGCAGGTGCAAAGCAGGTGCACTACTGGGCAACAAAATGGAGAGACCTACTGTCTTGATGCTACATGAACACCAAGCCTACCTGCTCCAGAAGGAAGCCTTCCACAGAGACCTCAACAGCCTCTGTCCAGAGCAGGCAAAATTGCCGGCCGTGCTCTGAAGTAACTTACTCAGGCGTTGAACACAGTCGGTCTTCACACGGTCGAACATGTTTACAGACCTTCTTCCTATAGATTTTCCACACAGAGCTATTCAATCATGCACACCTACTGTATTTTGAACATAGACGGCTCAGTTTACTTAACAAATTACCTTAATACACTCTACGCCTTTGCCATGTACAGCTTTAAAAGCCTTCTTTCAAAAATGAAAAGCAAAGCCCCAAACCTTAATGGTACAAAAAAACCCCAAAGCATCTTCTAATTATTTAAAATGGAGAGTGTTAATAAGTGAAAATGAAAACAGATTTTGAAAGTTTGCAACACTGTACATTACTCTGTTTAATCTCCCCTGCTCTTGCTTGGAATTGACATCTTTCCCCCCCCCCCCCCCCCTTCTTTTTCTCTTTTTACAGGTACAATCCCCTTATATCTGTCTCTCCACACAACCCCCTGCCTTAGTGGAAACTCAAGTTGTGACTAAATAGCAAAGTAAATGCCATTTAGGTCTCCTTTTAGCAACCCCAAATGCTAGTGCTAAATGACAAAGACTATCCAGTGCAGGACCCCTGCTGGGTCAGTTACATCAGATGGCAAGGAGAGGGACTGAAGAGGACCAGCTTTGGTGGCAGCAAACCATATCCTTTCTGGTCACTCACGAAAAGGCAAGGGGGTTACTGTTCCCTCCAGCCACCAAGTTACCCTTTTTCTCCTTTGCACCACAGCTGGAAACCAGATTTTCCTTAAGCTCTCCTAAACTCACTAGACAAAAAAGAAAAATACCGCATTTTCATATCAGGGAAATTTTATGCTGCATTAGCTCAGCTAAGCGGCTTGCAGAGGGGTCCAACAAGCATACGTGGCAGCACAAATTACACACTGGGGACAGAAATGGATAGAAGAGCAGGATGCTCCTTTTGGTGGCAGAGAGCTATTACATTAAATCTGCTTACTGCAATTCTCTCCCGAAGCCAGTGCCTTAGGCAACAAGTTGTTCACTTATTTGTGACTTATTTGTCAATTAAAGCAGCATTTTCCTAACTTGGGGATAAGTCTGCTTTCTTGACACCGATTCCTTTTTAGGAAAACGGAGCAAGATCCTTCATTCAGTTCCCCACTATGCTTTCCAAGTATTGTTAGAGCCCTGTTTTACTTTGGTATTTTAATCAAATTCAACTGTATTTCATCATGCATGTTCCCTGCTTCACTGAAAAGTCATGATTCCTCACTTGCCTAAAAAATTTAGTGACTATTCAAGAATTAAGATACAATTTTGCTACGAATGCTTGAGCCAAATTACCGCACAGCTGCAGGGGGCCTTTTCTCTCCCAACTGACTGGTGAGTTGCTGAGGCTTTGTAAGATTGCCCTAGCAGGCAACTCCTCTTCTTCCTTTCCTGTTTTAATTAATGGCAAAAGAGTTAACTTGGGGCCATTTAAAGCACCAACATTGGCAACTGTGCGGGAAGCGACTGGGACAGCATCACAGAGCTATTGTTTCAGATGCTGCAAGTTTCCATTGAAATCACTTGAGTCATGCCTGTAATTTTTTTTCCCCTCTTTTGCACTACAAGACCCTTCTTTAAATCAAAGCTGAACTCTCAGAATAACTGGGGTAGCCAATAATGTTTTCACTACTGCAATTTAAGGAATTGCACTCTATGCTTTTACATTTAATACCCCAATATTAACAGCACATAAGTCAGCAATTCCTTAACACTACATCAAAGTGTTTGCTTAACAAGAACTTTAAAAATAGAACAATGGAAAGGTTTGCAAAAAACAGCCTTCTACCCCCTGGAAAATACTGTGTAAGCACAAGGTCAACATTACACTAGTCTTGCATTCAGTCAAATCAATTCCCCTTCCAATTTCTTTTGGCCATATCTCTTGGTTAAAAAAAAAAAAAGAAAACCCTGAACTAAAGACTTCACTTATATAATTAGAAAATACTTAATTCTGTACTAGCTTTACAGCTGTAATAAATTGTGTCAGTGGGAAATAACTAAGTCAACTATCAAACAGCTTATTTTCATGTTATTTACCTTGATATAAATTACTCAGTTCAAGCAATTAACACAGTTTTAAACTGTTTATTCATCATGCTTCTTTCAGAACATGAGAAAATCATAATGCAAAGGTTCTTCATGAATATAAAGTAGAAGACAATCTAAACAATGTTTAATATTGTTATTCATTCATAGTTATATTGCATTAAAAGATTTTTCACTTACCAGTCAGCTATACATCCTGTTATTAAGTGGCCGAAGATTAATCCTACCAGTAGGGAGAATTTAGCAATGTGGACTTTCCAGGCAGAATCACAAACAAGATCCCACTGGAAGAAAGAGAGACAGATAAATTGAAATAAATTAGTTTCTCAGATGCGTTTAAACATACTAACATTGGTGCAGAGCTTCTTCCAAATTTCAGTCCTAGCACAAGGGCATGGAAATGGCAGAGGAAATCTTTCCCCTTCAAGTCAAAACCCAGGTCTCAAGAAGCAAATTAAAGATTTGTTTATTTCATTGAGTTCTGTCAGGCCCTTAATTATAAAATGACAATATCCAACTCATAAGTCTCCCCTTCTCCAGGCTACATGAGTTTAGACTAAGGCGCATACCTCTGACACTGGCAGTACTGATGTAGCTGAGTGTCTCACCGTAGCAGCTCCAGACACCTACAACCAGAGCCCCGTGAAGCCCACCGGCAGCGAGCCTGACAATTTAAGAGCAAGTTCTCCTATTGACCTCCTCAGGGCCACCTGGAAACATGGGGAAAAGCAGCTGCTTTGCCACAGACCCCGATGGCCGTTAGCTCCAGGCTCCCACGGACAAAGCGTCAAGACACTTTTGCTTTCAGAAAAGCATCCCGGTTCCCCAGGTGGTGGATGGGGACGAAGACTGACTCACAGCGTGGCTCGTCAGGCCAGGTCTGAAAAGCCAGGTCCTGGCATGGAGCCAGAGAGGGCAGCCAGACAGCCTAGCACAGCCAGGCGACTCCTTGGGACAGCAGCTCCCACAGCGACATTTCACAGCTCAGAGATCAGACAAGGGCTGAACCTCCACACTAAAGCTATCCCTGATACTGAAATTACCCTTTCTGTCCAAGGGAACAGAGAATGGACCGTTTCAGACACCCTGTCATGAGAGCACTGCCTTATTCCCATGAGAAAGATGGGAACAGCAAGGTTTCTAGTAAGGCTTCCCTAAACTCCAAGACATTTTCCTCTGAGGCATTAGACTGAGCCTCAGGAGAGCCAGGTTGCATTCCTGGCTTTAGCCCAACATCCTCATTGCCCTCAGACATGTAACTTAATCTCGCTTATGTGTAAAGAGTGGATAGTACTATTATACCCTTGAATAAATGTAGGAAGATATGTTTGTTCGTGGTTTGTGAAGTGTTCAAATATTGTTGGTAATGGGAGTCATGCACATTTAATGAAAAATAAGTACAGCTGACTTTGGAGAGTCAGATACTCCAGAACTGAAACTTTGCAGAATAAATGGCTGTTTGTGTGTAATGCAATAGTAGTAACTGAAGTTTCATGGCCGAAAACACAAAGTAAAAGTTCGCAATTTATTTTTACAAGTCAGCTGTAACTTCAAAAGAAAGCTTCCCTCAAAAGAGTTCAATTAGGTGCGCTTCACTTTTAAGCATTTCCATGACGTACAGCCCTTCCACAATAAGGCTAGCTCTGACTCAGCCCTCTGGTTCAACATCACAGGAGATGTCCTCCCTACAATATGCTATCTCACGAAGAAGTATAGCACTTTCGTGGCCAAAAGAATCGTGCCAGCTTTCAGGCTCAGGCTTTTTGTTTTAGTTAAATGTATTTTTGAGTCCCTCACGGCACTGACTTGTAGAAGTTGGGACATATATGCCTGATCCTCCAACCTACAGACTGAAGGCACTAAGGAACCAAAAGTAAGTAGTATGAGCAAGTATTTTTTCCACCAAATAGCTACAAATTATTTGCAGCAAACAGCTCTGCAAGGCAGTGAGAATTGCTCTCCAGAGATGCTGACTTTTTAGAAGTATTTAGGAAGTGAGGGAAAAGCAATTTCTAATATTTGCAATTATAGAAACAATCTCCAGTTAACAAAGAAAAGTATCTGCCCAGACAAGCCGCAAACAAAACAAAATTCGGGAGATACATCTGAGCTCCAGGCAGACTTTCAAATGCTCTGGGTTTATTTTCACAATCCAGAAGTTGTATATGCTGCTTAAAACTGAGAAATCATTTTTGTTTGTAGAGAACAAATTAAGTTTATTAAAAATAGTCATATTTATACAAGATGACTTTTTTAAAGGCAATGTCTACAAGTTGTTATTTTTTTATTTTATTGTTGTCAGAGGAACGGTGATGTCATCCAAGTGCAAGAAGAAAAAAACAGATATCCTGGTGCCTTTTCATTTTCATTGCTAGTCAAAGAGAGCCAGCCCTTGCACGAGCCCCAGGCAGAGAATGTGCCGTACCAAATTCCACATAGGTAAAGGTTCCTGCTTGGAAGAGCCAAAATCTCATGAAGGGCTATTGTGAAATTGGACAACAGAGGTCAAACCGCTTTGGCACACTGGCGCACAGAGCAAGAGTTTAAAAGCAGAAGAAAAGTCGATCTATCAGCACGTCCTTCAGCGGTACCTAAAATGCACCCACTCCTTTTGATAACTTATCTGCAAGTCGTTGTTTATTTGTTTGTTTTTAAGGCTATTGGCCAACTCCCCAGCTGCTCTGAAAATAAACACATGTATTTCCTTGCAAACCCTGCATCTGGGCTTGTCCTGCCCTTGGTGAAGCACTCGCTCTGCAGGCCAGTGTAAACCAGAGCTGATCCCCCAAGCCCACAAGGGCAGCCTAACGCAGGTGTTGACAGACACAGGCAGCCCCTGACCTTCCCCAAATCTCTCGCCCTCCAAAACCCTCAGAACTCAAATAGGGAAACGGTGAAATAGTTCAACAGTCGCTTTAGCACAAACTTCCAGAGAATCTGCCCTGACCCCAGATTGCTCGCTCAGTACTAAGAGCCCAAGCATACCCCAGTTTCTCCTCTGGCAGCTGTCACAAACCAGAGAGAGGCCGTCATGAAGCAGTTTTCCAAAACAAATTCGGCAGGACAGTGGTGGGTGCCACCTGGGCATTTGACTCGCAAAGAGATAAAAGAATAAGGAGAGGGCACAAATGAAAAATGGATGCTGCAGTCAAAAGCAGCCTCAGGTAAAGATGACATTAATAGGACAAAATACATATTTAATAGCCAGCGTTATCGTCCCCACCCATCTTAACACAGCAGCAGAGCAAACCAGCAAGGCTTCATCATGCTGAAAGTACAGGAATTTTGCCAGAGACCTGTGCTCCCTCTTCACTTCCCCATGGAAAAGCCAAAGGCAGAGGACTGCAGCCTCACCTTTGAAGAGCTAGAAATAAAGCAGGAATCATTATATAGCATCAAGGTTGCCTCTCCTCTTACATACACATGGGCTTGGCAGAGCAGAACGTATTCGACACGTGCCCACATGGCACGACTGTGCCTGGAGCCGTGGCAGGTCCTGCTGTAAGCGCCAGTAGTTTCATCCCACAAACACGACACTCGGATTTGCTCCACAGAGAGAGGAGTGACAGGTTTCCATGTCCCTGCAGAACAAAACGCTGGGCTGGGCAGCGCTGATGACCGTTCAAGTGGCACTCCAAGTAAATCTGCACTGGGAGATTGTTTTGGCTGGAGACTAGACAGTAATCCTCTACCGCCTCTTACAAAAGGTAGATTAATCTGTTGCAAGCAGGGAGACCATTAAATCCTGTAACTGCTGGGGCTGAATCCCCTGGTGTCCCACTTGGGAGTTAACAGCACCCAGCCTGAAGGATGGATGCTGCCAAATTTACAGTACTCCCTGGGATTTCTCTTTGTGTCCCTGGGTTATGTCTGTCTTTCTGTCCTTCATCCATCCTCCTAATGCAAGAGATCTGATAAAGTGACTTACTAAACCAATAGGACTGTATTGTTATGCTGAAACAAAAATAACTGTATATGAAATATGATGGTGGAAAGGGAACATTTAAAAAACAAGCTTTTTTTCATAGCAGTACAGCAATGTAGAGGATTTGCCACCTATGCAGATGCCCAATATATTGCAAATGTTTTTTTCATGTTGTGACAGCATTTTTTTGGTCAAATCTTAAGGAGTTACACCTTCAGGATCCTAATGTTTAATTGATATCAGTGAGTCACCACCCATGCTGTGAGTCACTATGCTTCACATCAAGAAACATGAGATGCTTGGGAAGACATCTGGCAAAAGGTAACGCACCCAAAAAGTAACCATCCTGTAACTTCTTTACAAGGGGTGAAAATCTGGACAAGGCTCATGTAGTGAGTCAGTATTTGCACTGAAGTTACAAAAGTCACAAATGTAAAGTCTGCTGCATATTTGTTACTACAAGCACAAACTGTCTCAATTAAGGGCTCCTGCCTCAAAAGCACTTGTCCTCCAGAGGCCATTATGCTGTCCGTGGTGTCTAGGCACACTGAATACCCACTGCAAAAAGGTCATAATAAGATGCCTGCCAAGGATTTTGTTTGTTCTACCTTCACCCCGATTGCGTGGAAAAGTGCAAGGCAGACCCTTCTGTCCTAAAAAGAGCAAAGAGACAGGAGGAGAGATGCTCTGGTCCAACGCTTGCCCGGAGCCTGGCACAAAGAGCCCATGAGAGGGGAGCTGGACACACACCCTCTCCTCACACTGTGGGTTCGCAGGCCATTTCTGATGACCAATGTACAGATCGCTGCTGAAAGAAAGCAGACCCTTCCCCAAAGAGTCTGCAGGTGGATTGTAGCTCAGCTCCGACTGCTCTTTGCATTGGCTTCAGCATGAGGAGACCGGTGGGTCACCCACGCTGCTGCCTTGGAAGACCCTAAGCCAGGCATGAAGCCGCACTCTCGGTCCTTCCCCAGCCAGGCAGCACCCGGCTGCTGTGCTAGCCTTCATAGACTATGTCCCGAGGCATGTAACGTGCCCCACACGCCATACATGGCCTCTCAGCTCCTAGAGAAAAGGTCCCACTTTGGGACCCCCAGCCTCTACATATCACATATGCCACAGCTTACCGTGGCACCCCCAAACCCCTCCTGGGGAAAAGCCACAAGCTCTCCTGCATGTTAGATGGCTGTTTTAAGACCGGTAAAGGAAAATAAGAATCTATCATTTATCACCGAGGTCCATGTGTGTTGGGTCTCATCTTTCTTTGTTCCTCTCCTTCCTGCTTCATTATTTATAACCAAACCCTGTCAATTTTCCCTGCACAGCACTAGAATCCATCTTCTACATAAATAC